GAGGGAAAGAGGTGGCATTGAAGGAGACTTTAATAGTATCAGTCAAGTTTCATTCAAAAGAATTTCCTTTTTAAAAATATATATGCAAGCCTGGGGTTGTAGCCCAGTGGCAAAGCGTTTGCCTAATATGCGTGAGGCACTGAGTTCGATTCTCAGCACCACATATAAATAACTAAAATAAAGGTCCATTGACAGCTTAAAAAAATACACACACACACACACACACACACACACACACACACACACATGCATGCACCTATGGAGCAGGCCTGAAATCCCAGTGGCTCAGGAGGCTGAGGCAGGAGGATCACAAGTTCAAGGCCACCCTCATCAACTTAGCTAGGCTCTAAGCAACTTAGCAAGACCCTGTCTCAAAATAAAAAGTAAAAAGGGCTGGGAATGTGGCTCCGTGGTTAGGCACCCCTGAGTTCAATCCCTGGCACCAAAAGATAGATTCCTGCATACAGAGGGGAGAGTGGCAGATGGCTCAGTGGTAGTCACTTGCCTAGCATGTAGAGGCCCTGGGTTCCATCCCCAGCAGTGCAAAAGGGGGAAAAAAAGAACCAAGTGTTACTCTGTTAAATCTGGCCAATGATATAAATGGCTACTCTCCTGTCTTTGTCAAGTGATTCATTAACACCATCAATTAGGACGTTATGAAGCCACTCTCCAGGACACCCTTAGAGCTGCACCGTGCAATTAGGTGACCGTGGAGAGTACACTTTGGTTTTTCTTTTTCCTCCCGCAGTGCTGGGATGGAGCCCAGGGCATCACTCATACTAGGTGAGGGCCCAACCAATGAACTGCATCCCCAGCCCTTGTTCTTGTTTTGTTTGGAATTGTGGTAAAAAACAGGCATTTACCATTTTAGTCCATTTTCCATGTGCAGCTTCGTGGCGGGGAGCATGCTGTTGGGAGGCTGTCACCACCTCCATCTTGCTAAACCGAATCTCTCCCTGTTAGACACTGACTTCTCTTTCCTTCTCCTATTTTATTTATTTATTTTTATTTAGCTCAGTGGCTGGGCAAGGGCTCTACCACCCAGCAACATCCATCCCAGCCCTCCTCCCCCACTTTTTTTTTTTTTTTTTTGTTATGTTGAGATAAGATCTTGGTATGTTTTTCCAGGCTGGCCTTGAACTTGAGATCCTTCCACCTCAGCCTTCATGGTCTCTGGGATTCCAAGCATGGGCCACCATTCCTTCTTCTATTTTAAATAAACATTTACATATTTAAATTGGAGTCAAGGGTTCAGGGAATTAGGGGATGGGAGACAGGTGGGATTGATACTTATTGTCATTTTAATTTTATCTATCTTAATTTTATCTATCTATTTATCTACCTATCTATTTATTTTATTTTGAGACAGGGTCTCACTAAGTTGTCCAGACTGGCCATAAGGATGTGCCCCTCACTGAGCTACACCCAGCGGCTGTTTTTATTTTTAAAAAAAAAAAGAGATATGAGTCTACAGAAAAGTGTACAACACACGTATATCAAGTGATAGACAACTTAATGATTATTATTCAGGAATCACTATAACCCAAGTCAGGAAATAACGGTGAATGTCGCCCAGATAAAGAAAAGCAAACAGAACTGGAATGATCAGCTAAGAGGCATGTTACCAAACAAACCCCTTGTCATAGATGTCTCTCATCCTGCCAGAGGTGCCCCCACCCTGAAGTCAGAACAAACGCTACCTTGCTTTTCTTCACGGGTTACTCCTGAAGGTGTGCACACCCATAAACACCAGGACTTTTCAACTGTAAATGAAAATTGGGACCATTTATATGATTTTACAAAATGGAAAAAAATTTTTGAAAACCTGTGTCTAGATAAAAATTTAAAATATAAAAAAGGGGGGGCTGGAGCTGGGGCTCAATGGTTAAGCACCCCTGAGTTCAATCCCTAGTACCAAAAAAAAAAAAAAAGACACTGGGGTGTTGAACTATGACACAAGAAAGGAACACTGACTCCAATTTTAGATCAAATTAAAGCTAGCTTGTATTGTGTACACAAAAGCTGGCCAGCGACTGTCTCACCTGAAACTTGGGCCAGAGAACAGCCCCCAGCTCTCCAGAAAAAAGGTTTTAAAGCACAAAAAGCTGCAAAGGGGGGCGTCTTGAGAACTTACAGCTAACAAGATTTTGACAAGCATAATACAAAGGCAGACAGCAGGTAAACGATCTACATGGCATGCTATTTGAAGGTATGGAGTAAATTCAGATCCCAACATCAGAATTTATGAGGCGCTGCTGAGGTTTCAGAGAGGGTTGTTATCTGGTCAGGGGAGTGAGAATTTATGAGGAGCCACTAAGAGTTTAGAGAGAGTTGTTATCTGGTCAAGGAGACCCAGGCATGGGTGAATTCAAGGCACAGGCAGGAATTTCAAACAAGTTTAGAAATTTCAGTAATTACAGTAAAATAGAAATTAACTTTTCATAACTTTGTCAGGATGAGATGGCTCCCAATCTTAAGATGGAATTAAGCTGGGTTCATCAGGGGATGGAGCCCCTGATCTTGCACAAGGTAGGCAAGCACTCTATCACTGAGCTACAATCCCAGACCTTTTCATTTTCAGAGAGGGTCTTGCTAGGTTTCCCAGGCTAGTCTTGAATTTTTGATCCTTTGAGCGTATGTATGTGTGCCACTTCACCCGGCTCTTGAGTACAATTCAGTGGCATTAAATACATTCAATTGGTGTGCAATCATCATCTTTATCAATTTACAGAACTTTTTCATCACACCAAACAAAAATTCTTCACTCATTAAGCAATAATTTCCCCAGCCACCTCCTCAGGTCCTGAGGACCTCGATCTACCTTCTGTCCCCATGAAGTCGGCTACTCTAGTAACCTCAGAAAGGTGGAATCACACAATGTTTATCCTTTTGTGACTAGCCTGTTTCACTTAGCATAATGTTCATCCATGGAACTTGCACATGCTAGGCAAGTGCTGTACTGCTAGGCCCCACCCTTAGCCCTTTTTATTTTTTTATTTTGAGACAGGGTCTCACTAAGTTGTCCAGACTGGCCTTGAACTTGTGATCCTCCTGCCTCAGCTTTGGGAGTAGCTGGGGTTTTAAAGGAGTGCCACTGCACCTGACTTCATTCCTTTTTAATGCTGAAAAAAATATATATTTTTAAAGATAGTATTTGCTTTCGACATCTTAATCAAACATTTTAAACATTTTCCACCATAAAACGTTGGATTACACTGGAGATGTAGCTCAGTGGTATAGCATGTGCTTAGCACATATGAGGACCTGGGTTCAATTTCCAGCATCAGAAAACAAAAAATAAACAATTAAATAATTCTAATAAAATAAAAAATAAATCAGGCATGGTGACCTGTCTATAATAGCCCCAGTTACAGGAAATGCCAAGGTAGGGAGAATGCATTGAGTTCAAGAGTTTCAAACCATCCTAAACAACACAGTGAGATTCCTTTGCAAACAAACAAAAATATATTTGCACATGCTGGGTGCCGGGAATGCACGCCTGTAATACCAGCAGTTTGGGAAGCTTAGGAAGGAGGATCATGAGTTCACAGCCAGCCTCAGCAATGGTAAGGCACTAAGCAACTCATTGAGATCCTGTTTCTAATTAAAATACAAAAAAAGGGCTGGGGATGTGGCTCAGTGGGTAAGTGCCCTTGGTTTCAATCCCTGGTATCAAAAAAAAAAAAAAAAATCAAATTTTAAAAAGTAAAATGGAGCAGGAATAAATACTTAATGCCATCAACAGCATTTAAGGAAGTGTTCAACATTTAAATGTTCTACTCTAACATAAAACAGAATTTAAATATTCAATTTAAAGTATAAAGCAGGGCTGGGGATGTAGCTCAAGCGCCAGCGCGCTCGCTTGGCATGCGTGCGGCCCTGGTTCGATCCTCAGCACCACATACAAACAAAGATGTTGTGTCCGCCGAGAACTAAAAAATAAATATTAAAATTCTCTCTCTCTCTCTTAAAATAAAAATAAAGTATAAAGCAAAATGTATTTAGGTCTTAGTATTGATTTTTTTTTTTAATTTATTTTTATTTTTTGTAGGGGGACTGGGGATTGAACTCAGGGACACTCAACACCAGTCCTATTTTGTATTTTATTGAGAGACGGGGTCTCGCTGAGTTGCTAAGTGCCTCACCCTTGCTGGGGCTGGCTTTGATCCTCCTGTCTCAAGCCTCCAGAGCCCCTGGGATTACAGGCATGCACTATCATGCCCAGCTTTAATATTGAAATATTTATGTTTCAAGTAAGTATATATATGATTGTGGTTTGTTTTTTTTTTTTAATTCACTTTTTAGTGTAGTTGGATACAATACCTTTATTTTACTTATTTATTTTTATGTGGTGCTGAGGATCGAACCCAGGGCCTCGCCCGTGCTAGGCGAGCCACAACCCCAGCCCATAAATGATTGTTTAAAATAAAAATTAGGGGCTGGGGTTGTAGCTCAGTGGTAAAGCGCTTGCCTTGCGTGTGTGAGGCACTGGGTTTGATCCTTAGCACCACAAAAAAAATAAAGATACTGTGTGTTCATCTATAACTAAATAAATATTTTTTTAAAAAAAATTAAAAATAAAATAAAAAATTAGGTATTGTGCACAAGTGAGAATACGTAACAATGAATCCCACCATTATGTACAACTATAATGTACCGATTTTTTTGAAATACTGGTAAAATATAAGTAAAAATTAGGGCTGGAGGGTGTAGCTCGGTGATAGAGCGCTTGCCTAGCTTGCACATGATCCTGCATCCCTTCCCAGAAAAAAAAAAAAAAATGAAAATAGGTTTTAAAATAAAAAATTAAATGCTATTTTAAATATGTAAGACCAAGTGTCACTTTAATAAATATCTGTTTAAATAAAGCTTAAAGCTATACTTGGAGACGTATAAAACATTCACACACACACACAGAAGGGTCGCCCTCTGGCCCTGCCCGGGCTCCAACACACCTCGCGCTCAGGCAGTGCCGTGGTCAGCCCGGCTGTTCGCGAGGACCCCACACAAGCAAGATGGCGGCGCCCTGGCGGCAGACGCGCAGCCTGTTTGGGATGTCGGTGACCCTGGGCCCGGGCTCCCGTAGCTACCGGGCGCCGCCGCCCCCGCGCCGCTCTTCGGGTCCCTGGTGGCCAGACCCAGAGCACCCGCTGACCCCGCGCTGGCAGCTGGGGCCGCGCTACGCAGCCAAACAATTCGCACGACATGGCGCTGCCTCTGGTGTAGCCCCCGGTTCACTGTGGCCGTCTCCAGAACAGCTGCGCGAGCTGGAGGCCGAGGAGCAAGAATGGTACCCAAGCTTGGCAACCATGCAGGAGTCGCTGCGGGTGAAGCAGTTGGCTGAGGAGCAGAAGCGTCAGGCCAGGTGCGTGTGTGCAGGAAGGCTCGGGGCTGCCCTCAGTGGCCCGCCGTTTGGTGGGTAAACTGGGCACGCTCGGTAGGGGGCGTGGACTTAAGCGCATGCTCAAGTAACAGCAAAACTCATCTGCAGATGTTTACTGAGCCTTACTATGTCAATGACCTGTCCTAGGCGCTAAGGACATAGCAGGGAACAAAACAGACAAGATAGTTTTAGATGGCAACAAAAGACCGTTAGGAAGATAAACAGGGTGGGTTGCATTCTAGAGGACGACTTCGGTTTTGGAAACCTGGGGTGCCTCTGAGAAGGTGATGTTTAAGCAGAGCCCTGGGTGATCAGGCAGTATGGAGCGATTTCAGGTAGAGAAGCAACTGGTGCAAAGGTCCTGAGATGGAATCGTGTTTTAAGGAATAGCCAGGAGCCCACTGTAGCTAGAAAAGAATGGGAAGTGAGGTTGTGACCTCAACTCCAGACCTGGAACCCAGAAGTCGGATTTGGAAGCCGATCTGAAGGATTAGATTTTAGGGAAGAATGGAGGTGCGATTGGGTGCATCTGGTTGATGCTACTTCCTGGGGGAGGGGCCTGGTCAAGTGTGTTCCTGGTGTTTAATCTTCTTGTCCTTCCAACAGCCTTAGAGGAGAACATCACTCATTTTAGAGATGAGGAAACAGGCTTGGGAAAGTTAGATGTCCAATCACATTGGCAGTCAATGGTGCAGCTAGGTCTCCAGTATCTCTGCCCCTCCCCCTAGATAACTCTGGCTCCGGAGTTAATTCTTCAGTTTCACTTTTCTAATTCTTGAAATGGGGCTATCATGGGTATCTACAAATTCACAGGACAGGATGGAAACGTCCAATGTTTCTTGCCTTCACTCCTGTGCCTTAGAATTGGACCTGGCATACAGTAGGTACTCAATGAAGTCTGGAATGGAGGAGTGAAGTTATCTATGGGAATGGCACTTGGATGGCTCAGTAGACAGCTCAATGAAATGTTGGGCTGACTTGGCATCAACCCCTGGGGATTTTTGGAGCTTGGCCCACCCTTGTGCTCAAGTTCACACGCAAGTTACACAGACCTTCATGTCTGTTTCTTCACTTGTCAAGTACTTTTCCCGACAGTTAATGGCAACGAATAGTCTTCTCATGTTTTTCATCACAGTGGAGTTGGGAGAGGCAGGTGGTGGGCAGAGGCCTGGTGTGTGGGGGGGTCTGCTCTGGCAGTGTCCCTGCCCTCATTGCCCTCCCTCCTTCCCCTGCAGGGAGCAGCACATTGCAGAATGCATGGCCAAGATGCCACAGATGATTGAGAACTGGCGACAGCAGCAGCGGGAACGCTGGGAGAAGGTGCAGGCAGACAAGGAGAGGAGGGCCCGACTGCAGGCTGAGGCCCAAGAGCGCCTGGGCTACCACGTGGACCCAAGAAGCACCCGCTTCCAGGAGCTGCTACAGGACCTAGAGAAGCAGCAGCGCAAGCGCCTCAAGGAAGAAAAACAAAGACAGAAGAAGGAGGCGAGAGCTGCTGCATTGGCTTCTGCTGCAGCAGCACAGGACACAGTAGCCTCTGGGGCCCCCAGCTCCTGAGCTGTCTTCCCAATAAAGCCTGCTGCCTGACAGATCCACCTCAAAAGGCTGTGTCCTCTCTCAAATTGCCTCCCTGGGTTCCCTGGTTTCTTCCCTGAAACCTGGGACTAGGGATTCCCACAACTGGCTCTGTTCATACTGGGATGATAGACCACTAACGGGGGGGCTTCAGAGGAAAAGAAAGGGAGACTTGATGGGCAAATAATGGAGGAGCAGATGGCAGCAGAGAAGAAGGCTTCTGTTTACCAACATTAATCTCCAGTAATTAGCCAATTACCAGGGGGGAAGTGCAGCCAAAACAGAGTGCCATGATGATGGTGGGGGGCAGGGAGAAGCAGCCATTCCAAGGCTGAGCTGGGGCCAGGGCCCAAGGCCTGGGAATGAGACAGCTTCAAGGGGGAGGAGACACTGGGGCCCCATCTGCAGGAGCTCACAGGCCCCTCTCCCCCTTGTTGGCATTTCTGCATCTCCTGTGCCCAGCTAGCTTCCAGACCCAGGCAAGCTGGCCTGGGAGGCCCCAGCAGGCAAGGACCATTGTTAGGGCTGGTTTTTAAAACTTTATTCACTTCAAAACCTTTATCAGAGACACGGTTCTGTTCTGAGGTTGGGGTGGCCTTGACCTCCAGGGCTGTTAGCTCTTCTGCAGGCTGGAGGCCAAGGCCAGACTGGGAAGGGGGCCTCGGGCCTCTCGGGGCTCACCCCAGATGGAAAGATTTAGGCCACTCCAATGGAGGATCAAAGTTTGGGGCTCCAGCTTCCCCTCATCCTGGAAGAGGGAGGGGTGGGAGGGTCCTCAGGGGCGCTTCGGGGGATGGGGAAGCAAGCAGCCGCCTCTCCATCTGGCTGCAGGGAGCTGGGACAGAGGCCAAGAGGGGCCCATCTGTCGCCTCCTGGTCCTGCCAGCAACTTTTGAGCAGGCTGGGCAGAAAAGGAGGATGGGGGACAGCTGTCTGGCCTGGGTCTTCTTAGGATGGGAATGAGGGCCACTTTAGGAGGGTGGGAAGCTAGGCTTTGTTTTTTGGTTTTCTTTTTTTTTTTTTTTTCAAGGTTTTTGATTTTTTTCCACTTCTTAAATAAACATGAATATATATATACTTTTTTCTTTTATAAAACTTTTGTGGAGGTGGGGTGGGGTGGGGACGGTGGGCGGCCTGGCCTCCCAGCATCACTCGTCATCAAAGTTCTGACTCAGGAGAAAGTTGGCAGCCAAGTTCTCGTTTTTTTCACATGCGAAGTAGGCCTGGATCACCAGACTCTCTGGGAAGCCCAGGGCCTTCAACTGTGGGAAGATGGGCAGGGGTGAGCAGGTATATGTGTGGGGGCTGCCCACCAGTGAGGTCACCCCCCAGCCAGGCCTCTTACCCTCTCTATAGCTTCCTTCTCCTGCGGCGTCACCTGGATATAGTTCATCTGTGGGGCCTCCTCGCCTATGGCACCCACCTCCCCCTCCACGTCTGAGATGTCTGCCAGCTCACCAGGGGGTTCATTCAACATCTGGATGAACTGCTCCTGGTGTCTGCTGATTTGCTGTAGAAGAGGGCGGAGGAGAGATGGTGATCCATGTCTCTTGTCCCTTCTCCCCAGGTTCCCAACACAGTTTTTGCTTTTCCACTCATTCAGCAAACACTCAGAGGTTGTCTATTTCTTCTAAACACAACATAATAGAAAGAAGCCCTCTCTGTCCTAGTGGGATGAGGTGCCCAGATGGAGAGAGGAGCTATAAGCAAGCAAATAAAAGACCAGACAACTGCAGACATGGGGCTAACTGAGCGAGCCAGGCAGGGTGGTACAAGCCCTTAATCCCAGCTACTTGGGAGACTAGGGCAGGAGGACTAAAGTATAAGGCCAGTGCCAGTGCAGTGGCACATACCTATAATCCCAGGAGGCTGAGGTAGGAGGATCACAAGTTCAAAGCCAGCCTTAGCAATTTAGCCAGGCCTAAGCAACTTATCGAGACCCTGTCTCTAATAAATAAAATACAAAAAGGGCTGGGGATGTGGCTCAGTGTTTGAGTATTCCCTGGGTTCATTCCTCAGTACCAAAAATAAGTAAATATTAAATAAAGTACAAGGCCAGTCTTCGCAACTTAGACCCTATCTCAAAATAAAAAAGGGCTGGGGATGTAGCTCAGTGGTTTTTAAAAAAAAAGTACCCTGAGTTCAATCCCGGTACTGACCAAAAAAAAAAAAATAGCCACTGAGGGCCAGGTGGAAGGGGCCTGTGGTTTGTGGCATGGGAATAAGGGTCCCTCTAGATAGAAGAAGCAACAAGTACAAAAATCCTGAGGTATGAAAATTGGGCATGTCTCAGAAACATAATACCCACATGGCAAGAACAAGCAGACAAGAAAGGGAAGGGGGAAGAAGAAAAGGAAGGGGGAAGAAGCAAGACATGAGATCAGAGGAAGGCTGAGGCCAGGCACTTTATTTCAGTGCAATGGGAAGTCGTAGTGGTAACAGTTAAACAGGAAAAATGTGATCTAGGTAACTTTTTTTTTTTTTGCAGTGCTGAGAATCCAACCTAAGACCTAAAACATGCTAGGCAAGTGCTCTACCATTAAACTACAGCTCAGCCTCTATGTACATTTTAAATTTATCTCATCTGAGTATTAAGAATCTGGAGATTCTGATGCATCTCTACGTTTGTATATATCTAACAATTTCCGCATTTAGGAAAAAAGTGCTTTTTCAGGAATAGGGCTTTCAGTGAACAATGGATCAGAAGGACTATGTGGAAGTAAGAGGCTTTAAAGCTGGGAGTGGTGATCCTGATTCCCAGTGAATCAGGAGGCTGAGGCAGGAGGATCCCAAGCTTGAAGTCAGCCTCTGCAACTTAATAGCAAAACAGTATCTTAAAATGAAAAAATAAAAGGTGATGGGAATATAGCTTAGTGGTAGAGTACCTCTGATTCAATCTCTAGTACCTTAAAAAAAAAAGAAAAAGAAAAAGTAAAAGAGGCCTCAGAGGAGGCTGTCAAGGTGTCAGGTGGGCCAGACATGGTGGCACACGCCTGTAATCCCAGCGGCTCAGGAGGCTGAGGCAGGCGCATCACGAGTTCAAAGCCAGCCTCAGCAATGGCGAGGTACTAAGCAACTCAGTGAGACCCTTCTCTAAATAAAATACAAAATAGGGCTGGGGATGTGGCTCAGTGGTGGAGTGCAAGTTCAATTCCCAGTACACACACACACACACACACACACACACAAAGGGTTTCAGGGAGGAGATGAGGAAATGAGGCAGCCATAGAGGCAGGGGCTGGGCTAGATGGAGGAGTAGGGCTCATCCCCAGCAGATTCACAGAGCCAGGGACTTGGGCAACACAAGCACAGACAAGAAAGTCTGTTCTTGAATATCTGAAGTCTACAAAGCACTTTCATTGAGATGTGAAGTCAGTAATGGATGAAAGTAGTATTCAGGGAGATCTGGGTTTGTTATGTAGGCTGAAGGGTCACCACACAGTAAGACCCTAGGATGGTAACAGGAGGACTGAGCACAGATTAAGAACAGAGGGGAGAGGAAGAACCAGCATAAAGGACTAAGAAGTAGGGGGAGGAGCAATAGACTGTGTCCTGGGTCAGGAGAGGGAGATACTTCCCCAAGGACCCAAAAGAACTTGCTACATTCCTCCAGGCCAGAGACTGGGCCCAGGACCTGGACAAGCATCCTCCAGCTGCATGACCCCAAGCACACAAGCTGCTCTACACTTCTTCTGTCCTCTTTGGTAGGGTGAGGGGTGATATGGATGTACCCATACCTCAAAGAGTAGTCAGGAGAATTAAATGCAACTAGGTACCTCAACAGATCCCAGAGTAGGGGGTGGGGCCTATGCTTAGCTCTCTGCTTTCTACGGTAGAGAGCAACTCCTTCAAACGATAGGTTGTGGGACCCCCAGGAAAGGGGAAATGGTACCTGCTATAGCTCCCTCTGCCCCCGGGGGCCACACCTGCAAAAGTTGAGGGTTCTCCTGGCCCAGCTGCTGGAGCAGGGCAGGCAGCAATGCTGGGTTCTGCTGAATCACCTGCCTCATGTTCTGAAACTGGGGCTGGTCTCGCAGGAACTCCAGAGGGTTCTCTCCTGCTGACAGCAGAAAAGGGTGTAGTGAGATACCCACTCAGGGCTGGAAATGCGTGGATAGCCCACACCCCACATGCATACTTCCCAGTTCACTCACCTGCTTCTGTGGCTGGCTGCTCAGACACCTGGCTTTCCTGGACAGAACCATGTTCTGGCTCAGGGCTCCCCGGAATTCCCTGTCAGGGATCCAGTTTAGTTCTCATGCACAGACCCCTTTGCCTCCCTCCTGCATGCCCAGCCTAGCACCAAACAGGTGAGGCCTCAGCCCTGCCCTCCAGCAGCCCACCCACCACTCATGTCCAGCCTCCTGGGGGAAGTCTTCTGTGGTACAATCACTACCCAGAGGGGGCAGGATTGGGTTCCCCGACTACTGATAAAGGCAATGAGGGCCGTAGCTTCCCTTGAAGTGGGGGAGGGGGAGCACCTCACCGTGAGCAGATACTCCACAGCTCGGTGGGGGTTGTTGTAGCTGGCTCTCAAGGCAGCCACGACCCGTTCCCGCTCATAGCCCATGGACATGATCTCTGTCAACATCGTCTCATATTCAGAGCCGGTTACTGTGGAAGGAGCAGCAGGACCTGGGTCACCAAGGACAGGGAAAAGCATCTCCCAGGCCCTCCCAAGGCCCAGCAGATGGCTGGGGCACCCAGTTGCCTCTGCCCTGGGGACCACCCACCCACCTAGCGTGGACGCCGCGTCTTCCTCTCGCCCGCTGCTACCTGAAGAGGGAACAGAGCTGCAAATTCAAGAGAGAGAAATCGGACCCTGTCTTCTGGTGGCTCCCCCTCCCCCCAGGGGCACGGGATTCCGTGTGTGGCGCTGAAAAGTGCCTGGAGAATAGGGCCCAAGGCGGGGCTGCTGCCCCTGTCTTACCCTGACACAGACTCTGGGGACGTCGTGGGGGCTGACTCCTCCGATGGGCTCTTGTCCTCTCTGGTGGTAGGTGGGGGATGGGACATGCCTGAGGCGGGCGCTGGTGGGAAGGGTATGGAGGACTCTGGGACAGCAGTGGGTGAGACCTCTGGGGGTGCTGAGGTACCCTGACCAGCTTTGGCCTGCAGTAGCAAGAAAAGAAAAGGTGTCAGCAGCTGTATAAAGCCTTAACATCCCAGCCCATCTTTGCCCCGCCCTGTTCATGGCTAATCTCTCCTGGGCACACAGGCTCTTCACCAGCTCCCCAGCTAATCTACCCACCTTGGTCACCATGACAACCACAAAGTTCTTCTCATCAATGCGGTAGTCCCTGATGGGGACATCATCACTCAGGATTTTGCCAGCATAGATGAGTTTCTGTCCAGCCACTGGGAAAGCATCACGGCCCTTCTCAGCTTCTATCTTCTCCTTCAGCACCTTCACCTGCAAGGGAGAGGCGAACAGTCATTGCAAACCCTGAGATTCTCTCTTCCCTCTGGCTGAGGGAGAAGATGTAAGCCCTGACAGCAGAGAGGTTTCATACCCAAACATGCTAAGATTTGAATTCACTCAATCATCCATTTAACAGCACTTACTGAATACCTATTATGTGCCAGGTAGTATTTTAGACACTGAGGCTGTTTCAAACAAAACTCAACAGAAGTTCCTGCTTTCCCAGTGAGGACATTAAAGTAAGCAAAACATATTTCAGGTGACATAAAATATTCCACACTGCGAACATTCCGCAGTAACAGTGGTCAATACTCACTAAGGGGATTTTAAATTGTTAGAACTATTTGTAAATGTACATGTATTGTACTTTTTAAGCCTCATAAAGAATGTATGAAGTGGAAACCATGGGTCTCTTTACATTTGAGGAAACTGAGGCACAGAGAAATTAAGTAACTTTCCAAAAGTCAATATACTTGAGCTGATTAGGAAAAAAAAAAGTTTCTTTTACTACGAAAAATGGACAAGTGTTGAGGGTGTAGCAAAGCCTGGGTTCCATCCCAGCACCACCAAGAACAACTTCAATGTCTCTGTCTCTCTCACGTGGTAACGGTGCAAAACAGTGCCAAATACAGTCAGACACTCGTTTTTAAACAGAGTAAACGGCCAACAAACACGGACCACCGAACTGTTAAGAGACCATTTATTGTCATTATCATCAGTCGGCATCTTTTAGTCATTATTGACAGATCCTCTCGTCGATGACCCAAGGAGACACCTGCAAAGCTGGTAGCGCGGAGCGCCGGTCCCGGACAGCGCGGCGGGGCTGGGAACCCGAGCTCCTAGTTCCCGCCCCCCGCGAGGGCGCTGACACCGGAGCCAGGGCCTGGCAGGCACCGGGGGGTGGGGCCTAGCCCCAGACGGGCTCAGGGGCAGCGTCCGAGCCGCCGAGGGTCGGGACGAGGCACAGCTGGGGATCCGGGAAGTCCGACAGGCAGGGGCGGGGGTGGGCAAGAACGGCCCGCGCCGTCCTCTCCGCCCCTCCCGTTGGATCCCGGCCTCCCCGCCCCCACCCTATCCCCGGCACCCGTCGCTCCCGCCCCTGGGCTCCGGCCCGGCCCGCACCGTCTCGTCAGGCTCCATGCGGATCTTGAAGGTCTGCTGCTGCAGCGTTTTAAGAGTGATGGTGACGGCCATGGCGGGGCCCGAGCGACGCGGCGGCCCCGGAATCCTCACACAACATGCAACTCACGCCGCCGCCATCTTACTGCCCAGCCGCGCCAAGCGCCAAGCGCTTCCGGGGCAGGCGGTGCGCGCGCTGACCACCACTGCACGTGACCTGCGCGCGCCCCTCAGCCCTCTAGAGCATGCGCATCCGTTCTCATTTAGGCCAGGCATGCGCAGATTAAACTCTACCTTAAGGGATGGAAGTTTTTTTTTTTTGCTCAGTGCTCTCACCGGTCAAATGACTTCCTGAATGACGCCATGCCCGTTAACGGTGACGTCATGTGGCTGCAAAATGGCTCTCGTGCCCCCAGTTTCACCCCAAATGTTTCTTTGTTGATATTTAACTGTTTTAATGTACTTGTTATAACATTTCTTTTTTTTTTTTTTTCGTTTTTTGGGGGATACTAGGGAATTCAACTCAGGGGTGATTTACCACGGAGCTGCATCTGCAGCCTTTTTAAAAAATTTTGAGACAGGGTCTTAAGTTGCTTAGGGCCTCACTAAGTTGCTGAGCCAGGCCTTGAACCTGTGATTCCCCCTGCCTCAGTCAGTTGAAATATTTGTATTTGTATTTCTTCCCTAAAAATCTTTGTTCACGCTGTCCACCCACAATAGCAGGAAGCTTCTAAAGCTCTAAAAATGAGGTACTCTATGTTGTAAGGTTCCCATAATCGCCAATAGAAAAAAAATTTATTTGTAAAGAGCCGCGTCAGACATTTTGTGCCCCAATTCACTAATTCTTTGAGGGATATCAGATTTTTTTTTTTAAAGAGAATTTTTTAATATTTATTTTTCAGTTTTCGGCAGACACAACATCTTTGTTTGTATGTGGTGCTGAGGATCGAACCCAGGCAGCACGCATGCCAGGCGACCGCGCTACCGCTTGAGCCACATCCCCAGCCCCAAACATCTTTTTTTTTTTTTTTTGGTGGTACTGGGGTTCCCAGGGCCTTGTGCCATGTGAGGCAAGCACTCTACCAACTGAGCCCAGATATCAGATTTTTTGAATGACCTTGGTTTCCATTCCAGAGTCCAGTCTCTCCCACTCCTCCTCTGCCTACTACATTCATCCACCATCCTGTGACAGTGCTAAGTACTTGATGAAGGTGTCAGCTTTCAAGGCCTCCTCGTTGAAAACATAATGCTTCTCTTCATAAACTTTCCCTGGATACACCAATACTCTAGGATTCCCAAGAGGTTCTAGGAGGGACCAAAGGACCCCAAAGGGAATGGAAGCATGAGAGGCCAGTCCAAGGGCATGAAAAATGGCTGGGTCTTTAAGTGGTGGCCCACACCTGTAATCCCAGCAGCTTGGGAAGTTGAAGTAGGAGGATTGAGAATTAAAGCCAGCTCCCCAACTTAACAATACCCTTTCTCTAATAAAATACCAAAAGGGGCTGGGGAAGTGGCTCTATTATTAAGTACCTCTGGGGTTCAATTGCCAGTACCCCCCCCCCCCAAAAAAAAGGCTGGGTTACTATTAGAGAATTAGGTGGAGGTGAGACTGGGGCTTGACCTCTCATTTAGTAGGTGGAGTATTAGGGGGTGGAGTTCAGCTGGAGACAGGGAGGCCAGAGGCTGTGGCAACATCCCAGTGTCATAATTGTCCCCTATTTCTGCCAGACCAAATATTCACCCAACCAAAGCACCAGGCAGCCACCACCTGGCACCTCACCCAAGTCTAACTCCTGCCACTTCCACTGGATTCTAAGTCTAGACTCCTCAACCAGTTGGTCAAGCTCAGATAAGGGCCAAGGAGACAACTACTTATGTACCATTCCTTCAGCAAGGAACCCAGATTCCTCCACCCACTGGAGTTGAAGCTAGGGCCTCATGGGTCCCAACAGAGGGTGGTGCAGACCCCCCCCCCCCTTATCTCTTTTTTATCAACTCAATCTTGCTCCCTCCCATGGGGACATTCTTTCAGATCCCAACTTGGCCCTTAAGACTATGGGTCCTAGGGCAAGTTACATACCATGTCTGAACTGGTATGTAAATATGTTCAAAATTGCTCCATCACCCATCTTGTTGAGCAACAAATACATATAGCTCTGAAAATGTACCCTTTACAACATGAGGTCACATCCATGCTGTACCTGACTGACTTCTTGTCAACCCGGCACTAGAACCAACACTCACCGGTTTGGTGCAGGGTTAATGTGCAGTTTGAATAGTGGCAGTCCTTCTCCCATTGGTTTGGGAGATAGAGAGTACATGAGTCCTGTCATCTTGTGGAACACTCAGTTCTTTGCAGCTGAAAAATGAGTCTTATTCAGAAGCTGCTCCCCCCCACCTTGAAAAAAAAGGCCAACCTAGGTTTCCTGAGTCCATCTCCATCCTCCCCCACAAGAAAAACACAGGGGGGAGACACAAAACTTAATTTAATAGAAATTTTGTTTGTAGTTCTTACATTCTCAGTGTGAGCCGAGCTGGAACCCACTGCCCCACCCAGAAGTGGCCCAGTCCTGGAGGCAGGGGAGAAAAAAGGGGGGGGGGGGGCAGGAAGAGCCCCAGTCTTCCTCAGTGCTGGGGAGCTGAAGATGCCACCCCTTTCTCCTGCCCCCCTCTGGTCTCCAGGAAGGAGAGCAGATGGAATCTCAAGCCTAGGGCTTCTCCACACCCTCACCCCCAGGGTTGGAGAGTAGTAGCTAAGGGACCAGGAACAAAGGGGACAGAAAAAGGGAAAGATGTTGATTGAGAAAATGAGAGGGGTGGTGAGGCCTGAAGGAGAATTGAAGACAAAAACACCAGTAAAAAAAAAAAAAAAGGCGGGGGAAATAACCAAAATCCACCCCAAATCTGAACCCGCCTGGAAAAAAATGAAAGTTCTTGAGTCTCATAGAGACATTATTTGGCGTGGCCAGCTCTGCAGTGGGAGCGTCCAGGCCTCAGTCCAGCCCTGGAGGTGGCCGGTGTGGCCTCTACAGCTCATCCTTGGCCTGGCCAGTGGCATCTTCCTCCTCGTCTTCCTCTTTGTCCTCCTCATCCTCCTCGTCCTCATCTTTGTCCTCCTCATCCTCCTTGTCTTCTCCCTCCTCCTCTTCCTCCTTACGCTTCTTTTCCTCCTCTTCCTCTTGAAGCCTCTGCTCCTCATCCTGTTTGTCTTTCATCTGTTTTTCTGCATCCTGCATGGACAGATCATACCCCTCAGCACCTGATCCCTTGCCTGCTAGCCCTGCCTGCCCCCCAAATCAGAACAAGGACCCAGGCCCACCTTTGTGACACCCCATGTCTCATTGCCAAACTGTTCTGCATAGTCCTCATCGTTGGTGATGAGGAAGTTATCAAAGATGGTACCAGACTTGACCTGGAGAATGAATGGAAGAAGAGAGTCAGAAATGACACCCACAGTGTTCCACCTGTGTTTCTATAATCACTATACATTGTTACAATTTATACATTTATTGAAAAGGACTTGAAAATTGTTAATGGAGGAACACAAATTCAAAGCCAACCTCAGCAAAAGCAAGGCACTAAACAATTCAGTGAGACCCTGTTTCTAGATAAAATACAAAATAAGGCTGGAATCAGTGGTCAAATACTCTGATTTCATTCCATGGTACCCAGAAAATTTTAAAAACTTTGAAAAGATAAATAAATAAAAGACTGTGGGGGCCCACTGCCTGGATTCAAATCCCCATTCTGCCATTTTATGCATGTGACCTCAGGCAGCTGAATTCACTTTTCCGCACCTCAGTTTCTTCACTGGTTGAACTGGGGACTCACTCCCTTGTTCAGGAATTTTTTAGTGATCTAGTATGCCAGGAATTGTTCCAAGTAACTTTTTGTCAATTATTTTTTTCTTTTTGGCAGTGTTAGGGATGGAATCCATGCTTCATGCATGCTTGGCAACTGCTCTACCACTGAGCTGTGCCCGCCTCCCGGACCTCAGTGTTTTTTCTTTGCACTACTGGGGGATCAAACTCAAGGTCTAGCATGTCTTGCCCATGCTAGGCAAGCACTCTAACCACTCCAGCCCCTCCATTTTCCTCTCTGCAGTGCTACGAGGGAACCCAAGGCCCTGTGCACACTAGACAAGTGCTCTACCATCTGGCTACTCCTGCAGCTCCCCCAGCTAATTTTGTGTTGTCTATATTTTATAAAATGATTTACATTAGTACTTGATTAATACTTGGTACATAATAAACAGACCCTTAATGATGTTGTGAGGACTCCCTCAAGTCAGACCAGGAAATACTTCAGAAAATGTACCATTTCTAGGTCAGATTTGCCTGGCACTGAATCCTGTGCCTGTTGGTTTCCTTTAGGTCTCCATTTGAGGTCCTTTGTGTCTTACCTGCCAGAGATCTAGGCCCAGCACAGCAAAGTTATCATAAGCATAGATATTGGCATCAGGGGAGTATTCAGGGTTGTCAATTTCTGGGTGGATCCATATGCCCTTGTAATCTGGGTTGTCAATCTGGCGTGGCTTCCACTCACCCTGCAACAGAAGGGAATCAAAGTGAGCAGAGATGGGTGCATGACCCACTGTGACCTGTAGCTCTGCTCAGAGTCAGGTTGACCTTGCTTTTGTGTTTCTGTGGCACAGGGGATAGAACCCTGGCCTTGTACATGCTAGGCAAGAACTCTACCACTTAACTATACCCGCAATCTCCAAACTCACCTTGTACTCAGGGTTCTGAATCACTGGTGGTTCCCACTCTCCATCCATTTCTTCATCCCAGTCCTCAGGCTTCTTAGCATCAGGGTCAGGGATGTGCTCAGGTTTGTCCCAGTCCTGGATGTACACAAGGAAGTCAGAGTGGACCCAAGTGTTCCCTACATGCTATGCAGTGGTGGTGGAAAGCCCCTGCCCAAACACCAACCTCAGGTTTGGAGTCTGTGGGGTCATCAATCTTGGCACGCTCATCCCAGTCTTCTGGCTTGGAAGCATCAGGATCCTTTATCTTCTTGGGAGGCAAGAAGTCCCAATCATCCTCCAAGGAGCCTGATTCCACGGGGCTGTTGTCAATTTTCACCTCGTAGGTGTTGTCGGGCCGTACAATCAGTGTGTAGAGGTGTGTGAATTCATCATCCTGAAGAGGATAGATGCTGAGTGGCCCCACCTACCAGGCTGGCCTCCTGCTTCCCAGAC